TCACACGCGGAAACTAAATCAATGTAGCAACAGAATAAGCTGAACTGTATACAGGCTGCACTGCTAGAATATCGATTTGAAATGTCAAGACGACACGTTATACAATTGGTGGGGGGGGGGGGGGGATGGGTGGAGAAAATACCGTCCGAAAATCAATGAGCTACACTATAATGGAAAAATCCCTTCTCAAACCAAAGGCAAAGAAATTTCTCTTCCATCTTCAATTTATACTTCACACAGCTAAGACGCAATGTCGCTAATATAAAAGGAATACCAACTTACGAACGGTGAACTTTTGAAGCATCACGATTTCTTCAGTTTCAGTAAGACACATCGCTTCGTCATAAATGACAATAGTGTTGGTAGCTGTTTAAATATGTTTGTAGCAGCCACCTTATGGTTTCAGGGTACTCGACATTAAACGCTCAACTTTTGGTTCAAAATTTCTGATGCGCATACGTACATTACCAGCGTTAAACTTTCTACAAAATGAAATGAAAATTAACAAAATAAAAACTATAAAACAAATACTTTCTTAACATAACATAACCTCCGCCTTAACTGCTACAGAAACTTCACTGACAAAATGAAAATACTTATTACCGAATTATTTATAATAAGAAGCAGTAAGTTATAGTGCCACAGATTAACAGAAGACTGTAAAAATGAAGATTGTAGTTCTTTGCAGTAGAATTATCTTCCTAGGAAAATTTATCAAAGACGATCCAATACACAAATATACAACAGGCCTATGTAGGATATCGACCTTTAATCGCTAGAATATTCGATCTTAATCAATGTAGGCTAAATCCCGTGTCTAGTTTGCACTTTCGTTTTCCCGAACTGTTCATGGGTCGCCTCCCCATTTATACCAGCATTGTTCTGTTTTTGAAAAATTTCAAACAAAAAGTTAAATTTCTTTAACCTGAGTATAAAAATTGTCACTGACCAACCACAAAAAAGTCTTTGTGACAATAGGCCTATCTCTCTACTTCGTGCAATTATTTTTTTTAAACTTAAGACTTTCTTCAAGTTTATTAAGTGGTTTTCAAGAGAATTATTATTATATTAGAAAAATGGGAGATAATACAAACTCATTATTTATTACCATACGTATGTTGAAACGTACAGCTATATTATTAAAATATTATTTCTCAATCTCCAAAAAATATCACAACCACGAAGCCTAACATAAAAAATACTACATACTCAGGAATAAACCCCTCATTTCTATGACTGAGTCTATGTTAGAAGAAAACGTATTTCATCAATGAGGTTTTAAATAATCTAATCTCAAAAACAAAACTATACGATAACTTTTGACGCGAGCCTCAAATCCAATGTATCAAATAAATCAATTATGTTGTTTTGGAGTTAAAGCATTTGACTTCGTCTGTATTTCCTCGAATCGCGTGCAGGAAGCCTAACTATAGGCTACCTAGTCGTGTACAGGTTACAACGCTAGGAAAGTCACATCATCTATTAATACGGGCCAGTTTAACACGACGGCCATTCTATTGTACACCGAATATAAAGCGAGTGTCCGTCGGCTACGCAAGTAAATCAAACAACTGAGAATCAACCAGTCCAATCCGCCCGGACCACTGAATTATGAAAACCTAAAGCAACAGGTCATTCGATTGTACGTGGACACACAACATCACTGGCCAAGTATTCATTCAGTACAAAAACAGTTAAATAATAGTTCAGTGGTTATAAAACTTTTCTAATAAAAAATTTGTATTAATAATAGTTCGGGCATTGTCGGTATGGTACAGAATCGTTTATTTTAAGCTTAGCTGCGACTATAATTTTGCCTCTAGTTTTGTATGGGTGTGAAACTTGGTCTCTGACATTAAGGGAGGAACGTAAGACAAAGAGTGTTTGAGAACAGGGTGCTGAAGACAATATTTTGACGTAAGGGGGATGAATTGCTACGAGGCTGGAGAAAGTTGCATAATGGGGAGCTTCATAAGTTTTCCTCCTCACA